ACACACACAATGCAGTTTCCTTGTCAAAGCAAACTGGATTTTATATTAAGTTTATCCCTTATGTTGTTTAACAAGATGACACTAAACACAGCGCCAAGGTCATTAAGGAGAGCTCAACACTATCTCTTCTTTACAGCCTGATTTCTCTGGCACGCCTTGACCTGACTAACCTGAAGTGGCTGATAGTGTTGTAACAACTCCTTCTGCCAAAAAAAAAAGAAGCAGAAGAAGTTTTGCTGCAGTTTAAAATGTAAATAAGTTAATGGACAACATATGACTAAACGGTAGTTTTCCATAGTTTTCACTTATAGTGAATAGTGATTACATTACTTACGTGGTTATTCAATCACTTCAAACGCTTTTTGTGATATTTTGATGTTGAGACTGTCAACACCTTTGGCCTATAAAAGAAAAGAGATGATGTCTTTTTTTAATATTATCTTTCTATTTCATCTTTTATCTTTTCTAATGTAAATACACCTCTTTGACAAGCCCTGCTCCCTTTTCTTTCATCCTGACCGCTGTGAAGACAAGCCTAGACAAAAGCCTTCAGTGAGGCAGCCCCCGCACACTTGTGTGGTGCGGGTGCCAAAGGGCGGCCCTTGCTCAGTGCTAACAGAGTGACGTCATCGTGGCTGGACCTTGTGAGCCTAAGGAGGGATTACTAGTGACTAGCTCCACTGACAAAACCCTTTGAATTTTACCCGTGAGCTATCCGAGCCAAGGCTGATTTAGAAAGCTTTTGTTGGTATTTTTGTTTTTTGTATTATACTTTGTTATTTGTACGACTTGCATAGTACATTATCAGTTTGACATTTTGTAGCAGGGGCATGTTTGCCCCCGTGTTGCATCAGTTCTGCTTTAAACAGGTGGCTGGGAACTGAGACACCCAGCTGCCTTACTTTCCAAATGCCAAGTGTTTTCTCCTAGGATTTCACCTTCTTCTTTTTTCATTTCATAACTTGCCAACTGCCTTCGCTAGATGAGAGATCTGGACTTCAGACAGGCTGGTTAAGTAGCTGCACTCTTTTACAGTGGAGGCAAGGTGTTACAGTGTGTGTTTAAAGGCTCGTAGACAAGGAAAGATTGTAAGAAAACATACTTTTATTATCACAACTTTAAGTGCAGCAGTTCAGCATTTGGTATTTCCATATGAACTGAAATGTATAAGACATCAACCAAAATACAAAAAAAAAAAAGAAACTCACGGAATCAGACAATCCAGTGCAATTAAATATTAAATAGTACTAAATAATGATGTAACAAATCAAAAACAAGGCAACACAAACAGTACCATAAATAGACTTAAATAAATAACTAATAGAAAATGTTTACAAGCACAGGTATTTTTGCTTTTTAAACTAATGCATAACTCTGATTTTAAATGTAATTGCTTTGTTAATACTCATTGAAAACCTTTGTTTTTTGTGTTTTTGTGTATGTAATGCTTAAAAAAAAAAAAAAAAAAAAAGACAACACACTCCAGAAAATACACTTCTTTAAATTTTGAAGAAGTGGTTGGTTGCATTTTCTCCTCAGGCACAGTAACATTTACTGACAATAAAGTCAGTGAAAGTAGTCAGTGTCAATTTTCCCCTGCTGTCGTAGTGCATGAGGACCATGGGCTCGTAGGCTGCCGGCACGCAACAGGGGTGAGGTGTCCCTCCTTTGGTGATCTGGTGCAGCCGAGACTTGACCTGAGTGTGCATGCTTGCCGGCTTGTAGTTGTGGGGGCAGTTGCCGTCGCAAAAATGCATGGTGTATTCGACTGGGGCTACAACCCAGTCTGTCCAGCCGATGTCTTCGAAGGACACGGTGACTGACTTCCGGCAGCACCATCCTGGTTCATCACAGTCATCTTCCTTGTTGGAGCGACGCTGCCTCGTCCTCTGCGCGGGGTTGGCTTGTGTGAGGTCTAATTCCAGAGAAAAGGTCGGCTTGAGGGCCCCTCTGTTAGCCACCCTTACATCCACAACCAGTGGCTTCCCATTAGTCTTGAACCACTTCTCTACCTCTGGGATGATGTCCAGGTACGCATCTTGAATGTTTGAGATATTAGTTTGGGCTACAGAGTCAGTCCAGGCAGCCGGCCACACTGCTGGCTTTCCCCCATTGACTTTCATTTTAATCTCCTCCCTTGCTTCAGGCCTCACTGAAGTGAGTTTACCCAGAACCTGTCTGGAAATCTTCAGCTCTGCTCGAGCTACAGTCAAGTCATTCTGAATATTCGTATTCTTTTGGAAAACAGCTCTGTACCACTGCATGCTTGGACCTGACCGTGAACCCCTCCGAAGTGCTTTAACTGGTGAAACTAAAGAAAAACACACACAAAAAACAACGAAGAAAATTAGAAACAAAGTTGTTAACATCCTTTGATCATTAGCATTGTGTCATAGAATAATTGGGAAGGGGGAAATAAAAGAGTATTGAAGAAATTCTTTATGAAACTCTCTTGTAATTGGTTGTTATTGATAACACTAATAAAGTATCCTCAAAGTAAAGCATTGTGTACAAGGTGTGCCTGTCACGCTCATGATTTCTAAAAGCTTGCAGGAATGTGTTTGCTTTTTTACAACACAGTTTCATGGCTATAGATTCTATTTTAAGCTACATCAGCCTTTATGAGCAATGTGAACTATTAGGAAAGATATTATTCCAAGTATTCGTAACCACATCACTATAGCAGGTTTTGCAAGTACACAGTGTTAAACTTGTACTATAATAAAGCCTCAGTCTTCTTCTT